TTCGAACTTGTCACGAAACATATAGCTCGTTTTAGTTATTGAGTCCGTAATGAAATATTTACATATATTTAATCAATTTTCTAATATAAATACATTTTCTAAGCAAAAACAATTAGATTTCGTCCGAACCCGTAACGGATACTCCGCCCCTTATTGTGCGGGGATGATAGTTATAGAACTCATGAGGTGAGAAGTGGGATTGGAGTAATTAAAGAATCTAACAAGTTATGTTTAACAAAATACATGTGAGAGATATAACAAATGATTAGTAAGTTTTACGTAACAATTAATTGCCACATGACTCGCCATGCAACGTACAAGACAAAAACAAACACATAAAGACAGCACATAATGCCCATTTCATAACCATAGACAAATGCAAATATGCAATAGTTCTTTCTTAAGCTTTACTCCTAAAAATGCAGACGCAAAATATAATCTCCTAAAATGAATATCTTTTTTTTTTTTTTCAATTCTGTTCATTATCCGTTTTTTAGTGCCGATTAATTCGAATTCGCGTTGTATAAAATTGATTAAAGGAAGAAGAATTCCCTATCAAGTTTTTATTTTATTTTTAAGCTCGAACCTAAATTTTTTAATTAAGAGTAAGGGATCCTAACATGAAGATAAACAAAAATTAGTTGGACTTTATGATATTTATATTCTCGAGATAAATTAAGAAGAAAAGAAATTTGTTCATATCGTGGCCGATTCAAAAATTTGAGCTTATTGGTTATGGATTCTAGAATAAACAACTTACTGTATTATATTCTTGATTTATGTATATTCAGTTGATTTCTTAAAATAATACAGAGTTTCGACCAAAATTATTGAGTTATGTCAGGCCAGTAGCTAAAACTCTAGTTCCAGTGGTTCACATGTGTGACACCGAATAAAAGAAATTCTAATGCTACGCTTAATTGTAACACAATTTATCATCTAAAACCTACCTGAGCAGTGTGACCTCCTCTGCCTCCAACTTTAGAGACAATGCCTAGAAAACAAAGGCATAAATTCATAAAAATAGGTATTTTAGATTCAACTTCTTGTGAATTGCTTTTATATATATATATATATATATATATATATATATATATATATATATATATATATATATATATATATATATATATATATCTGTGTGTGTGCGTGCGCGCGCGTGTGCGAGAGAGAGAGAGTGATTGTATATATTCTATGATGAAAATGCATGTTTTTTCTTCAAGCACATTCCGTGTTCGAAACTATCTGATCTAACTAATTTAGATTTGTGTCGTAGAAGAACTCGCTATACATGGAGTTTTTAGTGCTTCCTATCAAAGCAAACGTTATTCTCCATGTTCAGGGAATATCCATTCCTCAATAATATCATATGCGCCCACTGTGTGTGTGTGCAGACTCCGGAGGGGTACCTAAGGCCCAAGCGCTATCATAATCAATATAACAGCTGCGGCGTGCAGCCCGATCCCATTCGAGGCTCAAACTCCAAGCATTACATTAAAGTGTGAAAATAAGGTTTACCATTCCGTTACACCCTTTAGTGGATGATGGTAATACGATCCCGTGGAAATAATTGAGCTTTGAGCAATTGGTATTCCGAGTTTAACTAATTCGATTAATTTTACGCAGAAAATATTCACTAATAAAAAGAGATAAAACGATTCCTATGAAATATTTTTTATTGATCACAAAACTTAATTAAAGTACGAACTTCTAGTTAAAAATAAGGAGATTGTTATCATCTTATCATATTCTTTGACGACAAGATATTTTTTTTTTTGGTTGGGTTTACCTATTAGTACGGTACTTATATTTGAGCCCGATTATATTTAAACCCTAACAATTTTTTTTTATACTCAAAGTTCAAACCGTAAACATCCAGCTTGTTTGGATGGTTGTTCCCCGTTGTATCGTATTGTATTGTTATCCCAAAACAATGTTTGTTTTGATTGTCTCATTAAAATTAGTTGTATTGTATTGTTAAATCCATTGTTCCAGAACAATAAAAAGTCCTGTTTTTTGAAACAACCGATTTGGTGTGGTGGGATTGTTTCCTATTTTTCTTTTCAATTATGCCCTAACTTATTAATCCACAATTCTATTTTACTCTTTACCTTTTTTTCTATTTTAACTCCAAATCTCCAACCTATAACTTGCTTTATTTTTTTTCAAGAACTTCTGCCACCAATGTTAAAGATGTTTTGCCGCCTTCTGTTTAGTTTTTCTCCTAATTTGCTTTTAACTCAATCCTAATTAGCTGTGCTCCTTCGTTTTGCCTTCTTCTGTCTCGCTCCTTTGTTCTGCTTTCTTAAGGTGTTTTGCCTTTTTATGTTTAGTTTTTTTAAACAATTTTTATACATAATTTTAAAAAAATTAATATTTAAACAATTGAGGGTACTGTAGTCAACTTATCAGTTACCGTACAGTACGATACAGTCAAACCAAACACCAAAGTACTATTTAACAATAGCAAACAATACAATCTATCCAAACATTATATTTATTAAACGATACGATACAATACAATACGATACGATACAATACATTATAAAACGATGGGAAACAATGATCCAAACAGTGTGTGAGGGTGGAGGGACTATAAATATCTATTTCATGAACGTGGCATTGCTTGGAGTTGCCAAAAAAAAAACAGATAAGGTGGAAAGGCTCTCTTAGATGACGGCGAAAATTAAGCGAAATGTCCTAAATAGGCCATTAAATACGTGGCTTTTTGGATACAGACACAAGGGCAATCTTGACTTTTTGACACTCAAAGATCTTAATTATAACTTTTGTCCCACGCAACCTAATTAGCTAGCTCTATTATTTATTATTTATTTTCAAGTATAATTCAAAGTCCCATCCATGTCACCCTCTACTCTTTAGTATACATATAATCCTATTAATTATTTGTGGTGAGAATGATTAGACAATGACAATATTATACTTTTTGACCTGATTTTTCAGTATTATTGCTCTTTGTTTTATTATATCGATTCGATCCAAGCTCTTTAAATTAGAATAATTCGTAATGGATCGCAAAGCCGAGGGTGTCTCGAAAAGAGCCTCTCTATCCCCTCCGAAATAGGGGTAAGGTCTGCGTACACTCTATCCTCCCCATACCTCACTGGTGGGATTTTACTGAATTGTTGTTGTTGTTGTTGTGGATCGCAAAATTTTATTGATCATCTCTATCTAATGAATAGAAAGTTCGCTTTAAAATTATCCTCCGATAATATATTCAACTACTCACTTAGTTTCAATTTATATGGTAAAAATTGGACTGGACACGAAATCTGAAAAAGAAAAAAGAACTTTTGAAACATATGATTTTAAACCTACCGTCATTTTTGTGGTTATAAAGTAGTATATATTTAAGGTTAAAATGATAAGTTAAAAATAAAATTATAAATACAAACATGACTTATTATTTTTGAAGTGGACTAATAAGATTTTTTTGTGTGTGCATAAAATGGAATAAAACAAGTACATAATTTAACATCTTTATCACCCTATCCAATCTTTAAAAGGTATGATAGAGATGCAACACAATAATTAGTTCACTTTTTGTGTGTGTGGTGTATTTAGTGTTTGATCTCTTAGATAAATTTTATATATCTAGTAATTACATGAAAATGCTATAATTTATAAATATTTACAGTTAAAAATATTTTAAAATCCTAAAATTTGTTGATTCTCAAAATACTATTGGTATTATTCATGGGACCGGAAAGTTTTCAATTCTTAATTATGATGTTTGTATTATACTATTATTGTTATTATCAGTCCGTCATTATTGGTAGACCCGAAAGATGTATTACTATTCACTTCCTCAGATTATAACATGGTCCCGAAATTCATTAATCCGACTAATACAGATTCACACCTATGTGTAGGGTCTTTTTCGAGTTTCTTCATTCTCAGGGTTAAACTCGAGATACTCGAACTAGAGCTAAAGAAATCTTATCTCTATCTCACCATATTCCTTACGAGCAAATTAACCTAGAATAGATGTACAAAATTAAAATCCTTTGCTCACCATTTTCTTGTAAAATATTTTTGACTATCAGATCATTCAAATGATATTTACAGATATACCTCCATGATAATGGAATTTTGTAATCTTGAAAATTAAGTGATCACTTACTATAATAGGTAAATATAATTAGACGGTGCAAATTTTTTTACTATCAATATATAACATAAACTCTACTTTTATTTGTAATCACTAATCAGGCAAAACCATCATTAAAGACTTAAAAGTGCCCTAATTATTTGTTGGATCAATCATGTTACAATCATAAAGAAGTGAGGTATTTATTTATGTGATTCATAAATGATTGAGAACTAGTGACAGCTTGTATTGTGTTGCTACCTCCGGTCCACAATAAGTGATCATTTTACCTTTTTATTTTGGTCCAAATTGAGTGTCTATTTACATAATCAAGAATAAATTAATTTTTTTTTTCCAAAATTTGTCCTTATTTACATATTCCAATGTGTCAAGGTAATAATTAATTAAGGTTAATTTAGTGAATATATCTTTCTTTTTTTTCTCTAGGAGTTCGTATTTCCTTAATGAGTGTGCCAAAGGTAAAATAGTCATTTATTGTGGACCGGAGGGAACACTACTGTTTGAAATGCGTATAATCAATGTATAATCTATGTATATGGCTAGAAAACTAAACAATGAATATGACCGACAATTTGTATAAAACTGCTACTTTTACACTTTAGTGTATAACTTAAATCCCTTGATTTATTCCCTTAACTATGGCAAAAAGGGAAGATTTCTTGTGACTTTGGTTTTTCATGAAAGTTCCAAGAATATACAATAACGAACTTACATACAAAAAACATAAGCTGCTAAAATTATGTAACAACATTCCAAGTGGACCTTACCCTATATATATATATATATATATATATATATATATATATATATATATATATATATACCTTTACTTCTCTATATATAATATTTATCAATGAAAGAAATGAAATCTTCTTTTAGACTACCAACTTCCATCTTCCATTAAACCAAAATCTCAACAAGAAATTATTCCCTTTCTCTTTCCAAATCCAAAAAATTATATTGAAATTCTACTTTTTCTTTTCTTACCAAATTAAATTATTCCAAAAAAAAAAAAAAATGGGTTTAAGAGATATTGGAGCAAGTTTGCCACCAGGATTTAGATTCTTTCCTAGTGATGAAGAATTAATTTGTGATTATCTTTACAAGAAAATTGCTAATCAAGAGGTTATTAAAGGTACTTTAGTAGAAGTTGATCTTCATATTTGTGAGCCATGGCAACTTCCTGGTAGGTTTCTTCTCCTTAATTAATTCTTCTTCTTCATCTCCTTCTTCTTCTTTTTCATGTTTTTTTATCTGTGTATTCAAAATTTACTGACCCGACTGTTTGTCCAAATTTCATGACATGTTCTTCTTGTACTTCTTCTTCTTCATCTTAGATCATATGCGTATCCAAAATTTACCGACCCGGCTAATTATCCAGATTTCATGACATGTACATCTTTATTCTCTTCTTCTTCTTCTTCTTCTTAGGGTTTTTAGGTTATTTGTGTAAAATTTACGGACTCGACTACTTGTCCAAATTTCATAGCATTTTCTTCTTCTTCTTCTTCTTCTTCTTCTTGTTCTTCTTCTTCTTCTTCTTTCAGATCATATGTGTATTTAAAATTTACTAATCCGACTAATTATCCATATTTCATGACATATACAGCTTCGTGTTCTTCTTCTTCTTCTTCTTCTTCTTCTTCTTCTTCTTCTTCTTCTTCACGTTTTTTTTAGGTTATCTGGGTATTCAAAATTTGCTAACCCGACTACTTGTCCAAATTTCTGGCATGGTTTTCGTCTTCTTGTAATTCTTCTTCTTCTCCTCCTTCTTCTTCGTGTTTTTTAGATCATATGCGTATTTAAAATTTATTGACCCGACTAATTATCCAGATTTTATGACATGTACATCTTTATGTTCTTTGTTTTCTTGTAATTCTTCTTCTTCTTCTCCGTCATCTTCATGTTGGTTTTTATTTAGTCATCTCGGTATCCAAAATTAGTGACCCGACTAATAATCCATATTTCATTTTTTAAAAATATAATCCATATTTTATGACATGTTATTCTTCATGTTCTTTGTCTTCTTTTAATTTTCTTCTTTTTTCTCTTTAATTACTTTGTAAATTTATCATGGGAGTTTCTTGAATTATTCTAATGATTGTTCAGTAAATTATGAAAGAAAGTTTAATAATCAACACTCAAGACTTTTTGCTTCTATCTTTTTTTTTTTTTGCTGAGACCCCCTAACTTTTTCTCCAGTAAATCAAATGAATTCTAATTTTCCCATTTAAAAAGAAATTAATTTTCCATTGATTTAAAAATCACTTACTTTGTTTTCATAACTGTTTGAAGATTTTGTTTCAAGAAACTTGTACAATATTTTCAGTAATTTTTTCAACCAAACACCATTAAGAGAAAGTTATTTGATCGTTTTTTGCAAAAAAAATTGAAAAACACATATGAAAGTAGCTTTTTTAAAGTATTTGCAAAACTGAAAAACTGTTAACTTTAATTTTTTCGATAGTATTTATTAATTTATTTTCTTTAAAGAAGAAGAACTTTTTGTTATCTGGATAATGCATGTTCACTTATAATTCGAACAAGTCTATTTTGCATATCTTTTCCTTTTCTTTGGAAATAAATAAATTAAATTATATCCACCGAAACGTAAAATATATATTAATTAGAGTACATCTTTTTAATCACCTTTTTTTCTTCTTTCTGTTTTCTCCTGAAAGTGCGAAATTGATTTAAAGGAACCTTCCCAAGTTAAGTGGACACACTTTTTTGTTTGGTTTTTATTTGGGGTATTATCACTTTTAGCATACGCCAACAACTATTAATATTTGGTAGCCAAAAAAATGTATAAAATTTGAATAATTTTTGTATATATATACAAAAAAATATAATTTTTATACATTTTTTCGGCTATTATTTTTAGTGGCTATACAGTGTCATTTTTTCCTTTTTATCTCCATTGGAAATCCGATACTCCGGTATCCGTTTTAGGTCTTCGCTTTAGGTCCTGATTAATTACATTCTTGCCGTGTAAGGTTCATTAAAGTGAAAAGCGCTCTCACCAAAATTATTTAATTTTAGAACTTGAACTCGAGATTCTGATTAATGTGTAAAGATCTTATACATTCCACTATAACACTCGATAGTTAGCGGACACACTAACTTCAAAGAAAAGGATGCTTTTTTCTATTTTTTTATGGAGTAAAAATAGATATAATTTGGGTTCAATGGATTTGGTTCACATTTAGCATCTGCATAGAATTAGCTACTAGCCTACTACTCTATAAAATTAGCAATTTCACAGGATAAAAATGGATAAAAAACAAATATGCTTTTAAGAAATATTCATTTAAAAGCCCCTTTTGTGTCTGATTATTATAATAAGCTTATACATGTGAGTCTCTCTGTGTGTGATCATTTTGAAAAGTCATGTGTCTATAACTTTTTATGAGTCTAGTTCTTGCTGGTTCTGCTCTTGCTGTTCTTACATAGAGGCGAGCCGGGATTTCAACCTTATGATTTTGAATTTTAAAATGACAATTTCATGTGCTAATGATTGATTTCTAAATTTAATATTTGTATTTATTTAATAAATTTTTTAAAATAAAATATATTGTTTGAGCAAAAGCAATTAGGTACCCATATTGGGGCCCGACTAAATCCGGATTCGCGCCGGAAAGTCCCACATTGGGGGGTAAAGCGCTCCCTAACAAAGGCGATTCCATACCTAGGGGCTCGAACTCGAGACCTCTGGTTAAGGATAAAGGCGTACTTACCACTCCACCACAACCCTTGTTGGTACATGTCCCCTTTCACATGCAAGCTAACTAGCTTGCATGGGCTAAATACATGAAAGTTCTTCAGATTATAATAGTGGGGCGGCGAGATATGAAATTTAGATCTCTTTATGCTCAAATACTGTATTAAATTAATTACAAATCTGTGTTTTTCTAATATACTTTTGTTAAATTAGAGGTGGCAAAGCTAAACTCCAGTGAATGGTACTTCTTCAGTTTTCGAGATCGCAAATATGCTACTGGTTTTCGAACAAATAGGGCAACAATTTCTGGCTATTGGAAAGCTACAGGCAAGGATCGAACTGTGCTTGATCCTCGAACGGGTCAGTGACGAAATCAGGAATATATAAATAAATTTTAACCTATATATATATTATAATTTCTTTACATATAATATATTTTTCGATAAAGGGTGTTCAACTGACGATCACTAGTAGGTACTGTATGTGACTTCGTTATTGGAACAGGTGGTCTCATTGGCATGAGAAAAACTTTGGTGTTTTACAAGAATAGAGCTCCAAATGGGATTAAAACTAGCTGGATTATGCATGAATTTCGTCTCGAGAATCCTCATATACCTCCTAAGGTAATATAATCTTTTATTATTTTGCCATGCAAAATTTTATCCTTTGCATTAACATATAGTATTTGGTAGGACGAAATGTTTTACATTAGAAAATTATTTACTGGATCGTTTTTAAGTACTTATTTGGTTACGTACAAAAGTAGACATATATACGGTAATTTTCAGTAACTTTTGCTCAAACATTGTATTTATGTTACGAAAAAATATGTATAAATATTAAATTTAAAACCCTGTTATTGACACTTAGAGTCGTCATTTAAAAATTCAGGACCATAAAATTAAAATTTTGACTCCGCCTCTGCTTACATGTTTGAAAAATTATTTTCGAGACAAAGTAACGACGACAAAAATGTCTTTGTAAGAAATTTCTTAGAAACCTCCAAGTTGAGATTTGAGACAAAGGTACCATACAATGAGTAATAGGTGAAAATAATGGATGGTGTCTAAGCTAGATTCTGATTAAGTCATACACAAGTACGAGAGACTTTGTACAACAACGACATTAACATATCCAGTGTAATTTCACAAGTAGCTGAGTTTGGGGAGAGTAAAGAATATATGTAGCCTTAACCCTACCTTATGCAGGTGCTATTTCTGATAGACCCTCCGACTCAAAGCAAGCATGCATAATGATCATAATTGTATAGAGAAAAAATATGCAGTAGTGAAAAGTCAAAGAAGCAGTAACAACAATAATAGTAAAACCGAAACACAACAACGTCTAACAATATGAAAATACGAGAATAACACTACCACATATTTTCATAATACTACCACTACTGGGATGAAAGGAAAGACGCTCGACTCCCTATTACCCTTCTATCTTGATTCTCCATCCTACACCAATAATGTAGTTTAATACTATGTAATAACATGTTAATAAACTTTTCGGCTTTATTTACGTACCTAGAAGTAAGTTCAATAGGATATATAGACACTGTAAAATTTTCTTACTTGTAACAGGTAACTTGCTGTATTTTTAGATTCTTAATCCTACTTTTGGACGTTTGAATTACTTTATTATCTTTTAGATGAACTGATAGTGTAAAGATTTCGTTATAGTATTAGTATATAGAAGCTAAACTCAGTTCAATAATATTATTACATTTAAAAGACCTAACCTTATATGTTGTCTATGATCATTGAACAGGAAGATTGGGTATTATGTAGAGTATTTCACAAAGGTACTAAAGATGATCAAAACAACACTAGTAACAATCTTAGCCCAGAAAACATGTACGAGGCTAGTGTTACTTCTCCAGAATTTGTTGTATCTCCTCTCAACAATATGAACAACCATGTATCCACCATGCCTAAGTTATTGCACTACGGCGGTGACGACGGCTACCACACGTCGACCGCTAATTTCTCGAGTAACTCTGTCCATCAAAACCAGAACTCTAGCAATCTTCAGTTGTCGCAGGAAATAAATAAAGTTTTGGCTAATGAAATGGTTCACTCAAAATGTGGAAAGGAAGATGAGTTTGGGTTCTTGTATGATATGAATTTTGAAGAATATTCAAGTTTACAAGATGGAGGAGTTCATAATTCATGCATTGGGGATATGAGATTTGAGGATGAAAATAGCTTGGTTTTTATTTAAAATTATTAATCATAATTATTTGTTGGATTGATGTTTGTAGAAAAAGAAGAAGGAAATATTAAATATTAATTATTTGTAGAAAATGTACAAACTTTAGTGTTTGCTTTTGTGTATAAGATATGATTGATTGGATGGTCCTTTTATATTTCACTAGCTATATAGATTTGTAAGATCTTAAGGATATTCCATTGTTCATATAATTTGTTTTCTAAACTTTTGAGTTTTGGTGTAAATGAGCAAGTCATTTTCTTTTTTTTTTTTTTTTATGTTATGTTCCAATAAAGAAGAGATTGCTTCCTTGTTACTGAAGTTTAATGAGTTTCTTATATTTGAAAGACATTCATGGGTTAATAATTGCTTCTTCTGGTTCACTCAACCTTTTTTTTTTGTTTCAAGAATATTCAAGAATAAAAACCCATTAACAAAGATTTAGCAATAATAATTAGATACATTCACAACGTATAATTGATAATATTGCATAATGAATAACATTTTTCTCATAGTACTTGCTTCTACATTTTTGGGGGGTTTTACATCTGGTGTTAGGTACCTGAATTAGGCGTCCGATTAGTCTAGATTCGCATCGATAAAACTCTCTATCAAGAATTTTTTTTTAGTTCAAGGCCCAAATCGGAAACCTTTAGGATGGGTGTCAATGGTTCGGTTCAGTCGGTTATTTTATAAAATTTATACCATACCAATTTTTCGATTATTCTATTATATATAACCAAAATTAGACTTTACAAAATTGTCCCAGTTATATCAGTGTCTCTTCGGTATCGGTACGATTCTGTTAATTTTCGGTATTTTTTTTGAAATATCATGTAAAAGTCACTAGTAGAAGCAGAATGCAATAACATATGTACTTTTATAGGACTTAGCAAAATTCTCTAGACATTTGTAGTGTTTAACGGGTGATGTATTAAGAAAACATGAAAGATGGTAGAGTATAGATCGATCGACTATTCTACAGCACCGTAAAAGAAACTAAACAAATACAAAGAAAATATAAATCACATGAGTGAAAAGATATTAGGGAAATTACCAGCTATGTCCATTTATAAGTAGCTCATTACAAAAATTGGCCAATTGATAAAATATTACTAATATTAGCCAAATTAGCCAATTAGCTATTTGTAGCAAAAAAATATCAAATTTTTGCTTTGTTTTGAGTGGGTGTTATTAGAATAGACTGGGCACAACTTAAGGAGCTTGAATCCCAGTTTTGGGATGATTTGGTGAAGTTTTGAGGTTGTTTGAATTGAAAATTCGAAGTAAAAGCTGAACATGAAAAAAAAAATATGTGTATCACACTGTGTATCATTTGTGTATCACATATGTATCATATTTGTATCAATTGTGTATCACATGTATATCCATGTATACCTGTGTGTGTGATACATGCATGATACATGTTTGATACATGTGTCGCAGAAGACTTTTTTGAACTCGATTTAATTACGAATTTTGATACAAAACCAGTCCAAATCACCTCCAATCTTCCTCAAATTTTGTATATTGACTTATCTATATATTTTCAATGAATTTCAATTATACCCATTGAAAAAGTTCCTTTTTTGTTTAGATTTTTGGAATATTGTATAGATTTTTGTATTTCATCACCTTATTTGCTACCCCGTCCATGAAATTTCCTTTCCGTCTTGTATCTAATGTTGCTAATCATGCTTAAAAATATGGAAGGTGATTTTTGCATGTGATTCTTTGAGAGAAAAAACCCTATTATTTGGTTTTTCAATTTTTGTTGGCTAGTTTTGGTAAGTCTATGACTAATGGCTAGAGGTTGGTAAGTTGAGATTTATTTGGGACATTTGTGTAAGTTACCCTTGCATCTACACCCGCTTTTTGGATCATGTTTTAACTTGTGCCCGCTTTGCAAAAAATATTGCAAGCGTACCCACTTTTTTGCGAACTTTAGCATACGGGGCTGAAGTAGCAAAGGCAATCACGCAAAACTTTAGCATTCTAGTAGACGGGCCTGAAGTAGCAAAGGCAATACGCTGAAGTTTTTTGGTCTTAGATAAGATGCTGAAGTTATTTAGTTCATTTGTAAAAACTTCAGCACTAAAATAGCTGAAGTTTTTTTGTCCTGGATAAGCTTTTTCAAAAACTTCAGCAGAAGATGCTGAAGTTATTTAATTCATTTGTAAAAACTTCAGCACTAAATAAGCTGAAGTTTTTTTGTCCTGGATAAGCTTTTTCTAAAACTTCAGCAGAAGATGCTGAAGTTATTTGATTCATTTGTAAAAACTTCAGCACTATATAAGCTGAAGTTTTTTTTGTCTTGGATTCATTAATTTTGTCATAAAGCTTTTTCAAAAACTTCAGCAGAAGATGCTGAAGTTATTTAGTTCATTTGTAAAAACTTCAGCACTAAAACAGCTGAAGTTTTTGAAAAAACTTTTTAACATACTAGATAAATAATCACCTTATTCTTTCATAGTGTATTACTATTATAAAATAATCAGATTGCCAACAATAGCTAAATCATAAATTTTGGCAATAATAAACGTGAAAAGAACAGAATTACGTGGAAATATTCACAAATTATTGTCTACTAACTTACGTAATTATTTATAATTTATTTTTAAATAATTTGATAAACATACTTATGGCAATCATCCCATGAACTGAAGTTTCATAGCAGCACCAACAATATCAGAAGAAAGAAGAAGAAGAAGAAGAAGAAGAAGAAGAAGAAGAAGAAGAAGAAAATGAAGGAGGAGAATGAGGAGGAGAAAGGGGGCTCAAGTTGTTTAAAAAGTGGGTACAAGTTAAAACTTTTTAAAAAAAATAGGTATAGATTAAATGGGGGCGACCAAATAGGGCGCCCCGTGCAATTTTTACGTGTCAATGGTTATGTTCAGTCGGTTATTTTTATAAAAAATTTACTGTACAAGCATTTCGATTATTCTATTATATAGGCTATAACCAAAATTAGACTTTTCGAAACTGTCCCAACTATATCGGTGCCTCTTCGGTATCGGTACAGTTCGATTAATTTTTGGAATTTTTTTAAAATGTCATGTAAAATTCACTAGTAGAAGCAGAATGCAATTACCAAAATTCTCTAGACATTTGTACTATTTAAAGGGTGATGTATTAAGAAAATGTGAAAGATGGTAGAGTATAGATCGATCAACTATTCTACAGCACCGTAAAAAAAATTAAGCAAATACAAAGAAAATATAAATCACATGAGTGAAAAGATATTAACCAATTTGGGACTCAAGAATAAAGTCCATAGAGGATTAAATATTCAAAAGGATAAATCTAAATCATACGAAAGAAGACTGTATACGGTCGAAATCGGGCTCGTCTACTACATGACAGGTCGGGCTCGGAACCTGAGGGATTGAAGATCGACCCTGAGTTCCGTTGAACCAGAACACGAGGTCAAAATGTCCGTCCTCGAGAACATTGAGTCCATTATCCCGGAATCGACCCTGACCACGAACGAGCTCGAGAATATCAGTATAACCAACAGAAGACCGAAATAACAGAAGGCCGAAATATGCGTAACCGGTTGGATATTACTGTGGGAATCTCGACACGTATTAATAAGGAACCGGCAAATCAGCGAATCGGGAGATTTTTACCTTTTATAGAATTGTACCTAAAGTAGGACTCTCCTACAATATAAAAGGGGTTTGATTACTTGTAAAGCACATTGTAACAATCATTCAGAAGCAATATACTGTTATTTTCTCTTTAAGTTCTTATTCAACTGTGTCTTGACACTGATGGAAGCGCATTCTGTTCAAGGGTTGCTCACCCCCAAGGCTGTAACTATTCAATTCGTGTGGTTTGAATTTACTTTATCATACTTTATTTCAATTGCAATTTAATTTATCGCTTTGTATCAGTTTAATCAAATATCCTTAAAACCACTTACAAATTCAATTGTTATCCGATTTTGAGGGTAAACAGAAACATATTCAATACATATAGTTTGCTACTCATAATCGCTAGAATACCTTGTGTGTCTTTCTAGTGAATATGGTGAAAATAATTTAGTTTCAATTGGAGTAGCATAACAGGTTTGGGGATTGGGATTTTGAGTTAAAAATGCTTTATTATTTTTAAACATAAATATATAAATATATCTTTTTAGATGTAAATTTATTAGGTACGGTTCGGTATCTTTTTACATTTAAATTTATGGGCATATCGTACGACCTCGAAGTCCAGTATCAGGGCCACCCCGTTCTTACTGGTTTACGGCGCCGAAGCTTTAATACCGGTCGAAGTCGAAGAACCAAGTCTCAGGTTCCGATACGCAACCAAAGAATCGAATGATGAGGCCATGAGTATGAGCCTGGAACTATTAGATGAAAGGCGAGAAGCCGCTCTTGTCCGATTGGCCGCCAAAAACTGAGTATCGAGAGATACTACAACCGAAAGACCAACCTTCGACACTTCAACATCGGGGACTTGGTGTTAAGAAGGGTCACACTAAGCACCCGGAATCTGAACGAGGGAAAGCTAGGGCCGAACTGGGAAGGGCCGTACCAAATTCTCGAGATCACCGGAAAGGATCGTACAAACTCGGGGCAATGAACGGTGAATGGCTACCGAATAACTGGAACATAACTCACTTGAAGTGATACTACTGCTAAGGTACGACCCCATTAATTCCTTTTTGCTTATTTTTGAACTAACACTTATAGGTAACCAACAAGGAGCGGTATAGCTTTTTAGGTCTGAAAGCACGCGTTGCACTCTTTTTTCCTTGAATCGATTGTGTCCCAAATGGGTTTTCCGGCAAGGTTTTTAACGAGGCAACAGTGCATTGTGCTAACTTATAATAGAAGGTCGTTCATGAATCGGTGTCAAAGATCGTATCAACAGTATCCAAGGCTTCTCTCTATGATCAACCTCGAATACTGGAGGGTATTACCCTCGGATATCGACTTTAACAAGGAAAAAAACTTCGTGATTGAAGGGTCTTGATCGATAAGATTTATTGTAAGGGACAAACGGTCAAATAAACTGTGCCCGCATAGACTGCTCGAGCCCTGGAACAAAGCATGTACACATGTATAACTATTATTCACAAGAATAAAAAGAAGTCTCTTCATTGCAGATAAATATCTTGTCCTTTAAAAATTTTCTTGCA